AGGGTCCTCAGGCGAGGCGCTCCTGCGATTAACGACGCTATTGTCTTGCCGTCCTCGGAGTGTCCCGGCGCTGACATCCTCATCCTCACCGAACTCGTTTTGCGTTTAACCAGGTCTAACGTTACCGCAGGAAAGTTGCATATATATATATATATATATATATATATATATATATATATATATATATATATATATATATATATATATACATATATACAGATGTATGTATGTATACTTTAATATATTCACACACACATACATACAACTTTTTACAGATATACATGTAAGTATGTACGAATTTATGTATGTATGTATATATATATATATATATATATATATATATATATATATATATATATATATACATATATACAGATGTATGTATGTATACATTAATATATTCACACACACATACATACATATACATATATACACATACTTTTGTGTGTGTGTGTGTGTGTATGTGTGTGCATGTGTGTGCATGTGTGTGTATGTGTGTGTATGTGTGTGTATGTGTGTGTATGTGTGTGTGTGTGTGTGTGTGTGTGTGTGTGTGTGTGTGTGTGTGTGTGTGTGTGTGTGTGTGTGTGTGTGTATGTGTGTGTATGTGTGTGTATGTGTGTGTATGTGTGTGTATGTGTGTGTATGTGTGTGTGTGTGTGTGTATGTGTGTGTATGTGTGTGTATGTGTGTGTGTGTGTGTGTGTGTGTGTGTGTGTGTGTGTGTGTGTGTGTGTGTGTGTGTGTGTGTGTGTGTGTGTGTGTGTGTGTGTGTGTGCGTGTGTGTGCATGTGTGTGTATGTGTGTGTATGTGTGTGTATGTGTGTGTATGTGTGTGTGTGTGTGTGTGTGTGTGTGTGTGTGTGTGTGTGTGTGTGTGTGAGAGAGAGAGAGAGAGAGAGAGAGAGAGAGAGAGAGAGAGAGAGAGAGAGAGAGAGAGAGAGAGAGAGAGAGAGAGAGAGAGGGTGGGGGGGGGGGAAGAATTATGCTGGTCAAGAGACCGTGCTGCCAGCGAGCAGCGCCGCAGTCACCCAATATTCCCCACAGTGCAAAACAAAAGGACGTAAACTTGATAATCACCGACACACAACATGGCAACAGCAACGTGATCGCGAACTACCAAAAGTTGCCATTTAAGAGATTATAAATAAGTATGACATTTATAGCTTTATTCTGCCACATTACTCATCACGCGAGATTCGTTGAAACCCAATCGTCCACTTATGGTGAAGGAGAAGGCTATTCAACAAGCATTCACTATCGCACTCAATCTCTTTTTTTTTTCATTTCTGCTTTTCTTTGTGTCTTTTGAATATGAAATGAGAATACGGTAAATAATAAAAAGAGGAGGAGGAGGAAAAATGATAATCCAATCTTGTGTTTCCTGACTCTTCGAAAACAATCTAGGAGAAACATAAACACAATGACGTGTATTAGAAGATGAAATGAAGCACAGTCACAATAAAATGGGGAGCGCATTTTATTGTCAGACTAGATTCCTCAATCAGTCGTAAAAAATAAAATTAAAGCAAGCAAACAACCAAACAAAAATACAAACGAAGAAGCCTTGACATAGCTTCACTATAGTGGCTGTGTTACATTTCATCCTGGAGAAAATACTTTTAAAAGCATACAAAAAGGGCACCGCCGGACACTCACCTTTCCTTGCTTCTCCCAGCGGACGGTCGAGTGCTTGGGCGCGTCCACCAGAGCCTCCAAAGTGACTGAGTCGCCATCACAGCACCGCACGTCCTGCAGCGGCCGCGTCACCACCGGCACATGCTCCATCACGCTGCCGAAGAACGTCGTCAGGTTAAACAGGAGGATTTCAGAGTGAAAGGCACGCAATCTCTTTAATTCTCTTATTTCTACTTACATCTTTTATCATACTTTTAGGGTGAATTCGCGAAATGTAGAAGGGAGAAGATGGGTAAATAAGGTAGGTAGACGGATTAGTTGAGGGCTTGTCCCGTCGGGATATCTCGTCTTTTACCCGTTTGTTTAACTGTGGGCCTATCGAAGCCACGCGCGGGGAGCTACAGGCAGAGGTTAGGTTTCAGTAAAAATCTTCTAAGTCTGAAATTTGACGCCGATAGTCCTTTCGGGTGGAAGGAAACGCACGCTGTCCCGATGCAATCACGTTTTGAATAGAAAAAAACAATGCTGGTTGTAAAGTGTGTACTGAAATATAATACAACTGAACCTATTCAACTAAAATATCAACATGTACAGTAGCATATTGCAAAGCTGGTTTTGCATTAACATGAAAATGAAGATTCGAAGTTTCTTTTTTATCAGTATAAAAGTTTTATATTTCTCTTCGTGACTTCCTTGATAGATAGTCTCCATATTGTCATGATATCTGACTGAGAGAAGAACTGCGCTTTAATATAATAATAATAATGCTTTTGGATCCGCTTATCTTCTGGAGAGCCAGTCTATAAATAGACAAATAAATAAATGAATTTATGAAACATATATTCAACATCCCTAAACCTAACTGGTTATGATAAGCTAGCCAAACTGCCTTGAATATATTTATGTTTAGTTCAAGAGGACATGCATTCCTCTATGAAAGGCTGCGGCCCCTCTTGTTCAGTGACGGATGAGCGGTGAAGAGGTAAGGGGCGGTCTATACCACTACAAGCACTTGCAATTAAAAATGAGAAACCGAGGGGTGTGAAGTGGAATCTACCGTGATTGATGAAAAAGGAAAAATATGACATTTCGAAATCCCTTAGTAAACTACTCTTAACACTGATTAACGAATAATATCAAAATTAATTACAAAAAGTGTCGTGGCTGTTACTGAAATTATACCTAAATAGTAATAAATAATTAACACCTTCTTCCTTCCACTTACCTACGTGTTTATTCCAGGGTACACACATAACCTGAATTTTCCTCTAGCTAATGCTACGATGCAATCACTACCAACAATTCACCCTTTGGAGTCTCCTTGAGGGCTAGTTTTCCGTCAAAAAGTAAGCTGAAGCGCTATCGACGCCGTCCATACGAGACCCGCTCCCGTCCCAGGGCGTGAGAGCTGCCTTTCATCCCGCCCCCTTGGAGTAACGGGGAAGCTTGACGTAAGCTGCTGATGACGCTGACGGTGGTGCGTCTCTATTACGTGATTGGGATCGTATCACCCCCTCCCCTCCCCCCCCCTAACGCGCCGCATTCCCGGGATCCCTGAGGATGAGAATAAGGGTGCCGCCCCCCTCGGGAGAGTAATGTCCGAGCAGCCTGGGAGCGAGGGAGAGACCTCCTCTGTTAGCCGTGGACAAAGGGCGTCTGTGGTCTTCCTCACCGGCTTCCTCCTCCCCTATCCCCCTCTATCTCCCCCGCTCTCTCCCTCGTCAATACTTATTAAGACCAGACCTTTTAGAAGCACCAGGGGCGGAGATTCCGATGAGAACACGGAAAAAACGTGGGTGGGCAGTACGTGTGAACCGACAGATTGTGCAAACAAACGAAGTATCGCTACGAAACCAATACGATTCTCAGACGAATAAATTATAGCTTAATTACTTGGCTTAGAACACGAAAACAAGATAGTAGCACCTGACCGCAAAATGGACAAATTTTGGAATTGCACCCTGAGCTTCAGAAATGCACCTGTCGTAGTACAGGGCGCCCTTCGGGGACACCCTTCCTAGCCCCGGATATTAACAATAGGTGAACGAAGGCCTTTTACTCTTTGATAGCATCGACCACCGGCGGTCACAGACAATACACTAGTATGGCTTATCTCCTGATCTCGGGCCGCCGAGCACGGTGTCGCTGGCCAGGGGGGGGGAGAGGAAGCGAGTCTTTCCCGGAGACTCGGCCATTGAAGGTTCTAGAACCGGATTGCCAGGAATCAGCAGCGTAGGGATGAGTCAGTGAGATTTCTGTTATTCTTCTCGTTTTTTAATAACCATCGCAGTGGGGGTGTGTATGAGGGGGTGGGGGTGGGGGGTAGGGGTGCGTGCATGCGTGCATTTGTGCGTGCGTGTGTATGCGTACGTGCGTGCGCTTGTGTGCATTACGGCTAGAGCACAAAAAATGGTCACATCATGAAACAAAGTATATATATAAAAACAAAAGGAAATACAACCATTCTGAGATTATTTAGCTAATCATGGCATTGTGATGAAATGCAATACACAATTGTAACTTCTATAAACTGCCAAAAAAAAGTCTCACTTACCCGCGTTTCACTGGTATTCCTTCCAATTCGCCCTTCAGGCCTGGTGGGAGAAGAAACAACGGTATTAGAAATCGTAAAAATTGACATACTACTCCTAGTCACTATCAGTAAAACATAACAAATATAATGAAAATTAGGCCACAGGAAGTAGGAATAAGTTTAATTCCACGAATATTTCATTGAATATAGAAAAGTTATTTACATATCTGGTATAGTGGAATCCTCTATTTTTATTTGTATTTCTTTTTTTTCTAAAGTCTCGTTTTGTCTTTATTTTCAGTCACAACCATACACGCTAGATGCCCTACAGATATTCTGATTGACTTTCTACAGGTCACCCTGGCATTTCATTCCTATGCTATACCGTAAGCAACGCACCCTTAACTCTGGGTCTCCTCCTCATACGCAATAAACACCGAACAACATTAAGCAATACCCTGGATGAAGAGGCGACTTGATTTGCTTTCGCGAACACCCCGGAGGAACTGACTGATGTCCCAACTCCATTCCGCGGCGCGAAGTGTGTGACTCTCGGCTTGTATTCGCGGCCTTATGTGTGTTTTATGCGAATTTCATGGTCCCGTCTACACGCCGCGAGCACACTCAAACAACATTCATTCTCACGATTCTGTTTTGATTGTTGGTGTTGCCTCCCGAACGCTTACAGGGGGGGGGGGGGGAGCAAGCATGACTGTGCTTTCGTAAGGAGGTTCCATGCATCGGGCTTCATTGCTGATTCTCTCTCGTTCTCACATACACGTTTCGTTCGGCGAATATGAATGTTTTTTTTCTCATATGGCGTACCAAG